TCAATACAAACATATAAAATAGCACATACCCAGCTACTTTGTCGAGAGACAGCGACCAGTGCTGCTATATATATATATATGTGTGTGTGTGTGTGGGTGTGAGTATGTGGGTGTTTCTATACAAATATAAAAATAACACATACCCAGCGGCTTTGTCGATAGACAGCGACCAGTGCTCCAGCACAACATATCGCGAGTTGGGTTCTGCACCTTTGCCGTTCAACAGCAGCACCTGAAAGTACATGTGTGCAATTGAAAGACCCGTTGATATTGCTGCGTGTGGATGCAATGGACTGTACGACCTCGCACATGTGTGCAATTGAAAGACCCGTTGATATTGCTGCGTGTGGATGCAATGGACTGTACGACCACGCACATGTGCACACACTAGGTAGACTCTAAACACTTCTAAACCCTAAATCTTTTGGTAACCCATTGATGTCTACCCAATCTGGTAGACAATCTCTAAAACAAACCGAGGGAACACGTATACACATTGGGGATTTGCTAAAGGATTTTAGGGTTGTGTCAAAGTTCGGTATTATTTTGTTTTCCTGAATAGCAACTGCTGGCTGATATCGTTGCAGTAGCGCATCAACCAAGAAAAAAAACCAATATTCGTATGTCGCGTCACGTATAAATCTATACAAATGCCCGCTGATTGCTAATCTTGAATCCATATGTCGTAATATATTACGTCTAAACTATACCTTACCCTCAACTCTAAACCCTAAACCCTAACCTAAGTACATTCTATATGCCTCGCTACCGTGGGTGTCGATCTATAGTATCAACCGAGTGTCGATCTGTTATTGTATCTGAGCATGGCATCGGAATGATTCTCGTTCAATAGTACCCGGATGCATATCTATTTGTATTACCCGAATGTATATATTCTAATAGTACCTGAGTGTCTATCTATTGGTAAGATCTAAGTTTCTTATTTATTGATATTACTTAAGTGACTATCTCTCAATAGTACCCGAGTGTCTATCTATTGATATTACCTGTGTCTTAACTATTTAAATTACCTAAGTGACTATCTTTTCATCGGACCCTGATTGTCTATCTGTTTATATTACCTGAGTTGTGGGCAGCGTAGAGGCATCCACTGCAACCTCGATACTCATTGGTCTGTCCAGATCGGGTTTCGGACCGGTCCAAGGCTCAGTGAGTGAAAGGACAGATCCCGCATTCATCATCCCGATATTGAACTAAAAATAAACAGAGATGTTGAGTGAATACTTATCGATATTATAAATACCTACTCGTTTCATATGCGCAGTCGTACGATGCATGTGTCTAAACCTCTAAAAACCCTTAAGCCTCTAGGGCAGCAGTCTAGAAACTGGCTGCAACGAGAGGCAACCCCTTAGACGCTAAAAGAAATGAATTATAGTTCTATCAGACACTGTTCACAAGCTTAATGCAAGGAGTGGGTGGAATGGTGATATAGTGTATGGTAGTATCGATTCTGTAGTGAGCACTTAATAGAGGATAGCCTAGCTGTAACGGTACGCATACATGCGGAATTCTGAAGACACAGAGATAGATGCCCAATATATATTAAATGACCAAACCTTACCTACGCCCCACCTAAAGGTACAAACAGCAAGCTACCGAGTATATGAGGCATTCAGAATACATCGGCTAAGATATATTATATTAGAAACCACGTGTGAATAATATACAAGTAAAGTGAGTCTAAAACAGATGTATGTGGGTACATACACAAAGGGGTGTCACGAGTTAGAAGCTCAAATTCGGTTAGAAGCTTTACATTCACGTCAAAACGTTGAACGTACTACAGATACATTTGCAATGGGGTATCACGGGCTAGGCACTCGTATTCCGGTGAAAGTTGAATGTTCACACCAAAACATTAAACACACACGTCAACACATTGAACGAACAACAGATACATATACCAAGGAGTGTCATTGGTTAGTAGTAAATTCGGGTGGAGGCTGAACATTCACACCAAAACATTGAACGGACTTCATACAGACGTATACAAAGGGATACATTTTTCGGCACATATTCGGGTGCAAGTTGAATATTCACACCAAAACATGGACCGTACTACATACACATATACAAAGAGATTTCACGAGCTGGAAGCAAATTCGGGTTCAAGTTGAACGTGCACACCAAAACATTGAACGCACTACATACACCTATACAAAGAGATATTTTTTTCGGAGCAGATTCGGGTTCAAACTGCTTATCCACACCAAAAACATTGACCGTACCCACATATTTGTTTTGGACGTGAGGTCTAAGTCACTCTGTCTGGATTGCGCGATGATCTGTGAAACCTGCAGAATGCGATTAACAATGGTCGCGGGTTATGTATCGATTGTACAACTTCATCCGTACCAAAGGCATTGAGCTTCATAACTTGATTGTATATAGTAGTGGATGTAAGGATTACGAAATTTAGTACTAAATGGTGGCTAAGTGAAGAATATGACGTGAGTATACAATATCGCAGTATAATGAACATTTAAGGGTCTATAGATATATATTTGATAGTCTTTTTTTGTATTCATCAAATTGTACATACTCGAAAGTCCAAGCCTTTTTACAATATAGATGCATCTGTACTAGATAATTACATATATAAATACATAGAAGTATCTAAATATATATATACGTAAATACATACACACACACACATATA